TATTCATATTCATATATATGCATATATGTGATCTTCATCGTGATATGATCTAAATACATGTCGAAAATAAACATTTACCGCTGCAAATACATTCGTTTATAAATGTACTGTTTTTGCATCCATCATTCTTCATAAATGTCATTACCTCTGTAGATTTAATCTTTTTATGCGAATCACGGATGATAGGTTTAACACAATCTCTATTAATCGTGATTGTTAAACTTATTAAATATGTATTAGGCACTGCCACTGCCAAACGAGGTAAATTCCTATGAAGCATTGCAGCTAGTGGGATATGCATAAATATAGGTTTCTCTTTGGCCGTTTAAATTTACGCTTACATTCTAGCTTTTGCTTATATCATGGAGGTATTAATATCTCCATGCTTATGTCTAAACCGAAATCCAGCCATCACTTCCCGCATTGATGCCTTTTTTCTTCAATATTTATCTTTCTAATCTGCATATAGGCATAGACATTAAAATAAATAACAAAGTATACCATCGTGCTTAGATTCAGTATTTCGTCTTTTTATTGGATCAGCTTCAGGGATCACAATGTTTACATTTTACTATTCTATTATTTACACATAATAAATTAACAGAAACATTTTAAATGTAAGTGTATACATATACGCATGATTGATCAACAAAGTATACAAAGCGAACAGCGAAATTTTCTTCGAATCGTTTAGATGCTGAGTAATGTGTATGCATTGTTGAGTGGCATTTCAACGACTATATTATCGTTACATTTCCATTATATGTTTTTAGTCATAACCATGTATTTCACGATGCATGCGATAATAGAGAAAATTTAACATTTAGACATTGATCACTGTCATGTTATAGGCACATCATTATCCGATGATAGATCGTTCAGACCTTCAACCTTATTTATACGCAGAAATAACTCGCAATTTCATCTAATCATTTCTTTTTTGGAAATCTGATCTAAGAAAATGATTACGGGTTACAACATAACGACAGGTAAATTACTTACACGTTATAAATTACAGTCTCTCGGAAAAACCTTACAAAATCAATAATAATGATATTTGTGATAAACTACAATAATATAAATAATATTATCATTCGATAATGATAAAAAGTAATATTGATTTTTTATTAAGTTTTAAACAATTACCTAAATACAATATCAATAGAAAATTAAAGGTAACATTATTACAAGATTGTTCTGAAAGTTGACATTAAAAGGTATACAATTTAAACATTAGTAAAATACGCCTTACTTGTGCACCCAAGTACCTCAAGAATATGCTAAAAGAAATCAGATACTTTTTAATTTTGTGTAAGATGTAAGAGCGTCTACACTTAATCAAAACACGTCGCAGTGAATCAATTGTTGCGTCAGGGGAATTAAATTGATTATCATGCTACGATAGTTTCTGGATTAGGAAAACATTAATTTAATTGAATAACTCTTAATTAATAATATCTATATAATCCAGCACTTATATCATTTTTCTAATGAACATTAACGAACATACGCCCGCACTCACGCACATCTCTCTTCAACATCCCTCGTACACTGTGCACCTAAATGACCTTACAGAATTTGAATTTATTGAAAGAGAAAAACTACTATCGAATCGCATGCTCGTTGGCGCCAAATGATATTTAACCCATTTTTAGTTTCCCTGTTGTCTACGCGCTTAATTAACATTCAAACTTACAAACTATACTCCCATTATTTACCATTGACTAAACACAAGACTTGACTATTAAACAAAAACTCAACAACTGGTATCCGAATTTGCCATTGAAAAATAATGCGTTCCATACGCATTTGAGCGCGTAAGTCTGTAATAATATTTTTTTTAAATCATGTTGAATCTATGTCATAACCCCTGTCCCAGTGTAAGAGTATAGCATTAAACAAGTTTAGACATGAACAAAAATACATGTGAATGAACGTCCGTAGGAGAAGTTCCCAAAAGACTTTTCATTTGGACATTACGCTAGCGGCTTCATAACTTTCATCTTCTATAGATATTATAAAGCAATTCACACCATGATGGCAGACAAATTATTAAAGGATAGGATAAGAGTATTTTGGTATGAATCTCACTAAGAATAACTCACTAAGTCTGAAGCCTTGTTTCCAATGAGGTTCTTCTAGTGGTGAATTGGGCAGTGTGTGTAGGCGCACCCTACACTGTGCATCAAGAGCGTAGGTCCAGTTAGTAATATACAAGACACGTAAAATATACATCGTTTTCATTTCAGTAGGCACTTTACGCAACAAGACGAGAGGACGGTGGTTCTGTGGTCATTATAGCGTGAAGACCACAGTAAACACTTGGGCGCTTAACCAGAATTGTCGTTGTCGATGGCTCCCATCCTTTTGCGTAAAGTGCCTAGTGCCTATTATGTTATAAGTCATAAGTCACTCACTGGATAACGCAATGTCACTACGCGCGCGCAACAGTCGCGTAGTCTAGTGCTGAACAGGGGGCGAAGTTGGGTTCGTTGTACGACGGTCGTGCGACCGTCTCACTGAGTGCCCAGGTTTGTATAATTGTTCTTTAACATTTGATTAATGTTTATTTTACTATTAGCTTTATCATTATAATGGCGGATGCGCACAAGACAATTAGCATGCATAATATCAGCATTACTCTATCAAAAACGCTTGCCAGGTCCGTCCATGTTTTTGTTAGTTCTTCCTCTTTTTTCTGTTCCTCGATGTGCTGGTTAAACTTTCTGATGTCTTTCATTAACTCTTTGAACTCGGATGACGCTTGAAGTGCAGGGGACAATGTTTTGTTTTTTTGTTTATCTTCACTGATCACAGGAAAGGGGGACACATGGTCGACTCTCTTAAAACAAGGGGGTGGTGTGTAAGAATCCAGGTCCTTATACACTCCAAGAATTGATCCTAAGCCTCGGATGAAGACCTTGTGAATAAATTCATTGACAGGTTTGATGTGCTGTCCGAAATGAAATTTTAGAATAACCGATGTTGCCACAACAGAGAAGCATCCAAGAGAGATGATCAATGTAAAGAAACTTGCTGCAATAAACAGAGCAAGACATGAAATTATCAAGAGAATAAGCATGTAATTATTATATACATCGTAAGTGTGAAATTAAGACTATTGGCACGAAATTGTGTAAGTCTGTCTTTGTGTTGCATTGCATTTTGTAACGTGAATGTAACTGAATGGATCATGGTGTTCATCTCATGGTTATTTTTTCCGCAGGGCCTCGTGTTTGATAGGTTTTGATCAATTATGACATTCTCTTCTTGTTTTTTTTTTTGTTTTTTTAACATTTCTCCAAAGTTAATTAAGTAGTGCCTTATTCATACAATAATAAAATTTTGACGTGATCAAAATTTACCACCAACGTTATTTTCCACTTTTAAAACGTTCAATAATAATTTTGTTATTGAATGGTTTGTTTTGCCGGGTTTTGCGTATCGTGCAAGAAGTCAAGCAAAACTTGTTTTACTATTTATTACCGCGTACCTTATCTGCCTATATCTACACAAACAACATAGTTACCTTGATAGGCCTATTTCATTCACTGCCACATTTAACCCCATGTTTTCGTCATATATTTTGTAAGCCAAAATTTATCTCTTTATGTCTGTTAAAAAAGTATTGTCTCTTAAAAAATAACCCCAAAAAATCATAAAATATTTTTGAAATTAGCTTAATGTTATTGAATGGTTTGTTTTGCGTATCGTGTGCAAAAAGTCAAGCAAAACCTCTTTGACTATATATTACCGCGTACCGTATCTGCCTACATCTACGTAAACAACATCCTTACCTGTATTTTGATCTTTATTTATTCAAGACATTCCAAGTTATGAAAATATGCTGGCGTGAGACTTCCAACCCTGGACTTTGTGCCCTCTCATATATGTAAAAAAAAAATCCGCCCCCTAGGGAGGAGTATTGGACTGGATCCCCTACATTCACCTTTGCCGCAAAATGTTATTTCCTAAATGCTCGAAAATGCATTCAGGATCTGTATTTGTCTTTGAGAATACATGTACTTCGTGTCGTCCACACCAGAGGGCATTCATATTCCTGTCTGTTTACACGAACCTTTTCACACTGGCACCGCATGAGCTGGCAGTGTGTACGCGTCATTTGATCTTATCCGGCCGAGAGCCTTTATGAAACGACATATTCACAGTACTAGTGCAGCTAGTTGGTGTAGGCCTACATTATGTTACCATGATATTGTAAGTATTGTAGAAGGAGAACTTTTGGAAAGAGGACTTTTTACAAAGGTAACAAATAGTATAGGCCTAAATATATTTTATAATATTATGGCATTACATGGATTTTGGTCCTTAAGAATGAGAGCGTGAGACAGACCCCAAATGTGCGAGTCTCACACAATGCGTAAGACTTCTAGCGCGCCGCTGAATGAGACGCGGTTTTGACGTGGGCACCGTGTGAATACAACTTTAAAATGTGACACTGAGTCAAGTGATCTTATTTGGTAATATATTATGTTCAAAGAAGAATACCGGTACGAGATAACACTTGAATGATGTTCAGTATTGTAAGTGATTTTGCCGCAGACTATAATTATCAAATTGTTGCTAATTACGTGTCTCTCGTTATTTCATTTCGTTCGATTTAGGTCGCTACCGTTAAAGTGACAAAAAGCGAGTAAAGTGAATAAGATTAATGAAATAAACTCACCAATATAAGGGGTCTCGTCAGATGGAGGTAATGACTCAGCGATCAGTTGTTGAAACAGTACGATTGCTAGCAAAGTGGTGATAGAAAACGAAATCTTCTCTCCACATTCTGGAGGTAAGTAGAATACAAAAGCAGCTAGAAATGAAAGTAAAACGCAAGGCGCTAGAACATTTCCAACATAGAATTCGGAGCGGCGGCTCAAACCGATTGTCATGGTAATATCAGTAAATGGATGTGGGCAACAATCGTACTTGATGATGTTCTTCTTAAAAGAGACAAAATCTAGGCCCCAGACTCCATTCTCGTTGAAGTAATCCTGGTTGGCCTCCTCACCCTGTAAGGCCTCTACGTCAACGTGGTGGCTCCCGTATGCCCATGATCCATGCTTAAAATAACAAATTTGCTTGTCGAACGGGAAATACTTTACATTCATCTTGCAGAATGCAGTGTAGATGGCCGGTGTTGCCATAGAAACAGTACCATCCGAAGTAATGGATAATGGTACAGTGTTTTTCAAACGTTCGAAGCCAGTGTCCACGCTAGAAATAAGAGCAGAACTGTTAATCACACAGTCGAGAAACAATGCAATTAACGTAATATTACTTATCATATTTTACTAATTGTTTACATACTATAGACAAATTTTGAAAATACATCCTTATATGGACTACCAACTTATTTCATTTGATAAAACATTTAAAAAAACGGCCATTGGACCATTTTGAGTTCGAATCTCGGTGGTAGGAAAATATATCTCTTTAAACACCACCAAAAAGAGAAATTTCTTTGATTAATACCCAAATGTATTTCAAAATTTTCTGGGTTAAGTAGTCTATACAATTTTTAATTCCCTTACTTGTTGTAGAGTGTTATGTCTGGCGTCCAAATTGATTTTTTTGAAACTTTTATTGTATCTACCCCATCGTATTCTGAGGCGTTCCATACCATAAGTTGATCTTGCCAAGTCTGAATCAATAGAAATGAAAATTTGATGTAATAGTTTTCCCTCAGAGGGGTCTGCCCTAATGCAATCTGGTATCGATTACTTTTGCAAGATCTCATGGATGACGTTATATTAACATCTCCCTGACAGTGTAACAATTATCATGGGGTAATAATATTAATAATCTACAAGAAGAAGAAGAAGAAGAAGATGATGATGATGATGATGATGATGATGATGATGATGATGATGATGATGATGATGATGATGATGATGATGATGAAGAAGAAGAAGAAGAAGAAGAAAAAGAAGAGAAAAAGAAGAAGGAAAAGAAGAAGAAAAAGAAAAACAAAAGAGAAAAAGAAGAAAAAAGAATAAGATGATGATGATGAAAATAATGATGTGATGATAATGATGATGATACTGGTGGTGTGATGAGATGATGATGACGATTAAGGTTACGATCATAATAAATGTTATGTTATATTAATATCAAATATCAAATAATAATGTAAAATAAGAAGAGGAAGAAGAATAAGACGACGAAGAAGAGAATGAAGAAAAGAAGAAGAAGAAGAAGAAGATGATGATGATGATGATGACGACGATGATGACAATGATGATAACGATAATAAGGATAATATATTACAGGTTATATTAATATCACTTTGACAATATAACAATTATCATGGAATAATAATACTAATAATATTCCAGAATAAGAAGAGGAAGAAAAAGTAGAAGAAGAAGAGGAAGAAAAAGAAAAAGAAGCTGATGAAGATGATGATGGTAATGATGAGATGACGATGATGATGACGATTATGATGTTGATAATCATTTTTATTAAAATGATTATGATGATAATGATGCTATAATAATAATAATAATATAATTATGTAATAATAATATGATATCAATAATAACATTGCTCATGAAATAAAAAATATAATAATAAAGTAATAGTATTTCTATTATTATTATACATTCAATGGCCTAATATAAGAACAAGCGAAACGTAGACGTAGCGTAGATTTTGTTCGTCAAATTTACTTATTATTTTAGACGATTACATTTTCCATGAAAAACACAGACGTAACACAGTTAAAACTGTTACAGAGTTCAGATTTTATATTTTTATTGTTTCTTGAAAATTACATTACGTTCTAACTCGCTAACGGTTGTTGTTGGAATAATGTACTGTATTCGTTTTAACCGTAGTCATGTTATTTCAATAATTTAGAAACTGGGTGCCTTTAACCTTTGTAAAACCTATTAATCCATTAGAGTTGGTGAAACCTTAATAAACGTACGGTCGCCTCGAGAATATACATACCATTGCCATCCATCCGTTGACGGTAATAAATTGTCGTCTTTCATCCTGAAACAAACCATAAGGGAAACTAGAACCGACTTTAATGACAGCAACCACTGTAAACATTTTTATTCATTGCCGCATAATACTTGGTTTTAATTCTTTAATAATCATAATATTATACTGAAGCTACACTTTTTTAACAGTGGCACCTCAATATAAAAGCATTTACACGACCAAGGCCTATTCCAAGAAATTAAAAAACTGGATAAAATACATTGAATGGAATAAAATATTACAACTTGTTAAAAATGTAAAAAAAGAAAGCGAAATATAATACAAACATTCTTATAATAGAGTAACTCCAACACTCAGCGCTTTCTTTACATCGACCAAATTTTAAGAGTATTTATTGCCATTGCAGCGTGTTTAGTGCCATTTTAAAAATAATAATAAATTATAAGCTTCCAGTACACCAAGTGGCATATGGTACAGATCTCAATTATTGGTATTTGGTTCTGAGAAGAACTGCTTGGATTTTACTGTCATGTTATTCACCATGTTTTACATGGTAAATCATTCTGCAAGGTTGTTTAACAGATCACTAATAGTAATACTAATAACATCAAACAAAAAAGTTACATATAAATAAAAACAAAAATTAGAAAAATGTTCAGCTTATGATGAATGTAAATATTAGGCCTATGATGAATTTGAATATAACGAGTTGTATAATCAACCTATTACAATAAAGAAATGTTATAAGCAGATGTAGCACTTTTGCACTTTTCAGACTATTTAGGCTTTTCATCAAAACAAGCTTTAATACACAGTACACTTGCTTAGCTTATCTTTGAATTTCCATTTAAAAAAGACGTGGCGCATCAGGCACACAATATGATATAACATCAGTTGGACTGAACGGTAAAGAGTTTGCAGTGTCATCACTAATTTTCGCAGTGCCATCAATAAAACATGACGCGTCGCTCCTGGCACACTCACTGAGTGTAATCGCTATAAAGTGACGCTCTCGGAGCGCGATCACCTAGAATGTGTTGACGCTTCTGGAAGTATTATTACTGTACGTAATTGCTGACACGCTCGTAAGGTAGAAATTATAAGTGAGTAATATTATTACTAAATGGGTGCGTTTGCAGGATCAACACGAGTGGCTGCGATATGCTAACAATTATTTTGTAAATATACCATTGTAGTAAAGACAGGCTTCCCACCGTCATTATCATATGAAGATCGTCTGGTTTCAGATTTTGTCACCAAATTGTGCACACCCTCGTGTTTTAAACATATTTTAATTCGTTCATAATATACACTGCAATATTGTATGTCTCTGTCGAAGCTCACTGCTTTTTATTTTACGATTTTTTGCAAATTTTAAGTGCTGGGCTTTTTGTTTTGATTTTTTTTATAAATATTCTTAAATATATCTTAAATCAAACAATAATTACTCATTTCTGTGCAATTGATGTACGCTTTAGCCCTGTTGTCTCTTTTAGTTGTTATTTAATTTTTAACTATTTAAATATTATTTGAATAAAAAATGTTAATTATAGACCCATAACTGTTACTACAACCTCTATGAGGTTCAAATGAGCTCCAATTTCATTAAGTATTTTAACATGTATTTTACCTGCTTTATTGGTTTTTTTTTATTATGATGAAATTAATAAAGATTGAATTGAATATTTTATAATTTTAATTATCTTGACCTTTTAAATTTTACATTTTTAAACTTATATTTTTATATTATAGCTAGGCTTAATCATGTCGTTAAGTTAAGTTTGCTGGGAATCCAGACTTATGTCATGGTGACTCTTTTGCTGTTTTGGCCCCAAGGCACTTGTCTGAATAAATAAATGAAATGTATTGAATTGTCATACTAAATGATTCGCAGTTTTGTCATATTCTACTGATAACTTTGCAAGGACATTATGCCTAAGTTGCGAATGAATTACAACCAAAAGGTAACAGCAGACTACACTGTTGGTACGCTCGAAATGTTAAAAGGTAACGAGTGCTGTCAATGTTATTTATATTACTGTTTATAATACTTTTCAAAGGCTAATATTAGACTAGGTTTAAACTACGTTTATAGGCAATTTAAGATAAAATGTATATATGGTTTTTAAGTACGCTATTCACATCATTAGTTGCTAGCGTATTTCATATTATATAAAATTAGAGTAACTTCTTTAAATCTTTTGGTATTCGTTTAAGAGAGATATTAATTCATTTAAACAATCGCCCAGAGTCTTTTATTTATGCCTAAAAGGGTAAACGACTGCCCTGGTCTGTAGAAAAAGAAAATAAATAAATAAATAAATAAAATAAATAAATAATCGAGATTCCGGTAATTTCACACGACTAGTAAGTACATGTTTTTGTGCAGCTCAGTGTGTTTCATTCAGTTTACTTACTTAATTATAGTAACAATTTATTAGATACACAAGTAAGGGTAAAACTTCACTGTAAATTGCTTGGTTTTGTTTTTGTTATGCTTTTTATCTGTTTGTTGTTTTTGAACTGTCTTTTGCTTTCCTTTGTTTATATTTTATAATCTTCTTTGGTGCACCATCAAAGTGGTGGGTGCCACTGATCTGGTGAAGCCAAAAAATCGTAACGTATCGACATAACCGATGAAACATTGGTATAAAATGATTTTCATACTCGCGTCATCAATATTGTTGATAGTGCATTAAAAGTTGGTTTTATGGTAATAAATTCACTTCTATCGCATCCACTTAGATGCTGATGTTGTATGTAGGTTGGTCTATCTACGTGAATCCACGTCGCATCTATTCCATCTGGACGGCGTCGACAGAATGCTAAAAGCTCGGGGCACGGTACTAAATACTAAATAGTACTACAATGATTGGCATGAGCGTTCTGGATTTACATATTACTTGGAGGCTAATTCGAGAAAGGAAAGGCGTTCATACGAAGGTGGCGCTTATTACAAAATTGTTGCGTTGCTTTTCATGATGCTACACAGTCTCGCATGCCAAATCTTGGGATTTACAGTTTTTGTATACATTTAATGAATAATATAAGCGCACATACCCAATGCAGTAGCGCTTAATATGCTACTGAAGAAAGAAACCAAAATTTACCGTGAACCTTAAAGCTACCAGAAAAGAAAAACAACACATAATACATTTACCTGTTGATGTTTCTAGAAGAACTTAGGCTATATGAATACAATTGAAAAATAGGCAGTACTGTTTTTATGAAGACCAACTCTTTGCATTTTACATCTTACAACTCCATGATAAGACGCTTTTTACTTTAACAGACCTGTACTGAAACAATGCACCCTGTCATATTTGTTGTCGAAACAATACGATAATGCCAGCAAGATATAAATTATAATCTCGATCCACTATACAACTATTTTCTAGTACGCCCTCTTGTGAAAGTTTTTCGTTTCGACATTGTATTGATTTTTTTTATCTTGATATGAATAAATTCACTGAAGTGCATACGTCAGTTGTTTTCTAAAGCCTGGAACACCTCGTATACCTATCAAGCCTAATGCCATTATTTGATCAATAGTATACTAGTATATGCCTGAGACATATTTGATAAAATATATTATAAATATACCAGTTATATCTGATCAAATTTTATTGAGTCCGATAAAAACATTTGATGACTCGGTGTCCCAACTTGCAGTAATCATTGAATGATATGTATTCCATCACGACAATAACAAGGCGCAAGCTTGGTGGTCTAGAGGTATGATGCCAGGCTAGTGAGGCAGTACTGTTTTTATGAAGACCAACTCTTTGCATTTTACATCTTACAACTCCATGATAAGACGCTTTTTACTTTAACAGACCTGTACTGAAACAATGCACCCTGTCATATTTGTTGTCGAAACAATACGATGATGCCAGCAAGATATAAATTATAATCTCGATCCACTATACAACTATTTTCTAGTACGCCCTCTTGTGAAAGTTTTCTGTTTCGACATTGTATTGATTTTTTTTAAAGTTATCTTGATATGAATAAATTCACTGAAGTGCATACGTCAGTTGTTTTCTAAAGCCTGGAACACCTCGTATACCTATCAAGCCTAATGCCATTATTTGATCAATAGTATACTAGTATATGCCTGAGACATATTTGATAAAATATATTATAAATATACTATTTATATCTGATCAAATTTTATTGAGTCAGATAAAAACATCTGATGACTCGGTGTCCCAACTTGCAGTAATCATTGAATAATATGTATTCCATCACGACAATAACAATTTCTTTCAACACTGCAGTACCCGCTGCCCACTTGCACTCGAATTCAACCCTGGCCATCAGGCGCAAGCTTGGTGGTCTAGAGGCATGATGCCAGGCTAGTGATCTGGAGATCGTGGGTTCGAGTCCCACCCGAGAACAACTTGCGATTTTTTTTCGCAGTTGTTTTCAAATGTACTGAGTATTCGGTACATTTCCACGTCAGGTAGGGCAAAAAATTACACCTGTAATATGTACACCTTATTAAGTTTTTTGTGTAACTATTATATTGTAGGAAGAAACAGTTTTGGTACTCTATTTGGTACATGTTTACATTTTTCCACTGAGGTCAGTTGGGCCAACATCGCAACATCCCGATAATAGTTCTGCAGGTGTTAGTGTTCAATGAATATTAGTGCTGGTAACCAAGCACGATCTTTATGAACGCTCTCAATGAAGAGTGTGTAATTACGGTACGCCATTATTTATTAATACACCATGCCAACAGGTCGATAACCAATGTGAACTATAATACAAAACAATTAATTGAGTGTTGGGCATTGATTCTAACTGTATGATGTAACAATATGCCTCTGGTTATGTTTAATCAAGCTGTGTTTCCTGTGCGCCCCATCCCTAGGATATTGTTGCATGCTAAGTTCCCACAAATAAAAAACATACGCACACACATACGTGCGTTTGTAAAACAGCAAGTGAGTTTGTAGGACATGCGTGTATTCCTTACCCTGTTCTGATTGGTCACTTTGTTTGATTGACACATCCGGAAAGATTCATTGCAAGGCAGCATTACGTCTTTCAGAAGAAACATCAGAGAGCTTTCGTTATCTCTCAGATCACTCGAGAAACAATCCGCCAAGTGTATTTACCGCTCCGCAGGGGCGGATCCAACCGGGAGAGGGGAGCACGTGGGCCTGTGAAAGCCCCTCCGAAAAATAAAAAAGAGGGAGAAAAAATAGAGAAGAGTTGAAGGGAGGAAAGAGGAAATAATGAAGTGTACCGATGAGTTTAGTGGCGGATCCAGTAGTGGGCGAAAGGAGAGCTCGATTATTTCGGCACTAACTAATTTTGAATTTTCTACTGATTGACGACGAACACAACGCTATATATCACCGACACCGATTTTTTTTTCCAACGATTTCATATATCGAGATGTAAAAAAGCCGAAAGGCGGAGACCCAAGAGTGGTTTGTTTTGAGATTTTATTTTTAGGAAAGAAAGTGTACAAACCCAACCCTAGCTGGATTAGTACGTAGCCATCGGATAGTGTACTGTACAGTACGCATTCAGTGTTAAGGTTTTGGAGAAATTATGGTTGAGATATTGGCAAGGACGCAATTAAATTATTCAAAATATGTTTTTAGTCTCATTGTTATTTGTGCATTTAAGGCCCTGGAATTTATTGAGTTGAACTCGCAGTTAGTAGGCCTATTGTAGGTTTATAGAGAGGCTCCGGTCACTCGCTAGTGGCAAACCCCTTCAAGATATGATGCCAAACTTTTTAAAGTTATCAAATCCTTTAAAAATTCTCAAGTTAAATTTAGCAAGCAATTTAAAGTAATCAACCGACATTTGAATCACCATTAATTAATGTCAGTCAAGTCAAGTGCCTCTTCAGAAACGGTCCAATGAAGGCATTGTGTCTATTACGTTAATTTACCTCTTTATTTTTACTGTACAGTATCTTTAAAGGAGCTCACATACCGGTACTATACAATCACATGACGTCACAGTCGCATGTACTGTGTACTGTATATATTTATAAGGTACGCACTTCATCCCAATTATTAATTTAATTATTAATTACTTGAAGGGATCTTTAAGTTCACATGATATTAATTACAATGCATATAAAGTAATTGTATTGATTATACCTGGAGTATGCCTGGGTTAATTTCTTGGCCAAATACTTAATCGAATCAATAACTAGTCGTAACTGCAACAGGAAAACGAACAAAAGAACTGCGATTGTGTCTTTTTGTTATTAACATGTCCTGTTTAATGCACCAATTTGAGAACATTCGTTGTGGTAGTGCGGTAAAAATATATACCGCTACCGTAAATTGGACATGATGGAACATCGTAGGCTACCCTGTAGCTTTTCAACGAATAAAGTCCTATAAAAGTCATTATGTAATAAAACTCCTTCGAACCTGCGACCTCTCGCTGAAAAGGCGAGCGTCATAACCACTAGACCACGAAAACTTCATGGTTGAAAAGGTCCAAATAACCGTCGGGAACATTGTATTACACAATGCTACGCCTCAGGAGGGCGTTCGGCCAGATAAATCTGGCAATATGGCTAGAAATACTGTCGTATATTATATATGATATTGAAGGGAGTTCCTTATTTAAACAATGTATATGTACCTTTGATGATTTATATTATATTTAT